TAAAAGTTTATATAATAAAAAATTTAATAATATTCTATAAATTATTAGCTAATTTATGATAATGGATTTGCTAATCTATATGATAAAACTTTAATGTTTACGAAATGTTTAGATAAATCAAGTGGCATGTTTTATTGATTCAATTTTCATACTGATCGTAATTTTGTATTTTAAGCAGAGCTTTACAAAGTTGTCAATTTTCAAGAAATAATTAAACAGTACGTATGATAGTGGTATAATCTACGGAAAATTTGAACCGATTCATATGACCTTGGGTACAGATTACTCGAATGATATAGTATTTATTACATAAAAATCAAGGTGCTGTGCATTTTTTCTTTTTTTTAATTTACTCAAGTACCTGTTGAGATGTTCGAGTCGGTTAAAACCCATGAAGCAGGTCATACATCGATACGGACGAGAACCTCTTTGGTACTTGTATTTTTTTGTTTGAAATTATGGTTTCGTTGATTTGATTTTCATTAGGTGTAATTGTCGAAGGGAGAGGGGTGAGACTTGACATGTTTAAACGTGAACACGTTACATTTCGTTTCTTTGGAGTTCGTAGAGGCCACACATCGTCTTAATGCTTATATAAAAAATGAATGTTGTACGTAGTCTAAGTATTTGCTAGGACTCACATGGGCTTATGCATTTGATAAGTTCAAAACTACGTTAATTTTTAAATACTGTAAATATACTACTTGTAACTCTTCAAGTTAACGTTATAGACCAAAGTAAACATAATTTGGTCCATAACTCAAAATGACCCCCATACCCGTTATTCGAGATATTACGGTACACATCATTTTTTCAATTAATTTTAATTATTAATTAATATGTTATTCATAGATTTGAAAAAGTACATCGTTTGCAATCGAAATCTATCTCTATGGATATTTTTAATTTGATTAAAATTTATAATTTTTCAAAAAATATGAATTGACCAATATAAATTGGCCTTTTGTAATTAAATATTATGATTTTTTACATTCGCCTCTCAATATATAATGCTAGTAAACCTACGAATTCTTGATCAGCATCTTCATCATATTCGACTTCTTCAGTGAGTAAAAATCGATCGACTTTTCTCGCTCTAATATCGATTATACCCATCAAGTTCACAGATAAAAAATTCTGCTTTTGGATTGTGACTAAAAAGATTTTTTATACCAATAATTAAGGCAATGTAATGACAAATAATATTATTGGAAGCACACCAGAATAAGAACCATCAGACAGATCATAGTTAATTGAAAAAATGAATATTCCTCAATAAAATTGGTTTATTGCATGTAAAAACTAAGAAGCGATATAAGTCCGGTGCATAAGAATAATAAATTGCTTTATTAAAATTTATTTTTTATTTAATTCATTGTCTCATTTGTTGGTTGGTTATTTCGATGATAATTGCGAATCTGATGTAAAATTTAAAAGTTAACCAGCCAAAAATTATCATTCAAAGTATAATGACTATGAAGCTTCTTTGAAGTTTTAAAAATTTTTTTAATTATTCCTTAAACCGTCGAATAAAATTTCAGAATTTAGTGCTTTGTCTTAAATGGTCTGTTTTTTAAAAAATGCTGGTATTCTATATTATAGATAAATTAAAGTTGAGTTGAAAGGCCAAAATTTCATACGTAGTAAAATCAGCGCAATATACTATTTTCTGGGTATGTCTAAAGCCGTGTGCGGTTATATATTTTTGACCTTTTAATTAGAGTTAGGGTAAGGGTTAGAGCAGAGTTAAGGTGAGGGTAGGTGTTATAGTAAATTTTCCTCCCCGACATTTTTTATTAATGACTCAAGGTAGGTTCAGACACTCGTTTCTTGTATTTTTGACGTTTTTTACTTTTTTTCACTTTTTTTCTTCGTCGGGCTGATCCGTGTCGATCAAAACAAACAATTTTATTGGCTATAAGTCACGTGACTGCACACGGCTTTAGATGACCCTATTTGCTTTAGTGGTCAATTAAAGCGAAGTGAGGTTTATGGTTACTTTTTTGACGCCTTTTGACTCAGGTAGGGTTAATAGGTTATATAGATATTAAGAACATAATTTATGTGTAGATTATATATCTGTATCAAAAAAGTAGATATTTTTTTTTGATGCAAAAAAAATTTTTATGAAATCTAATTGGTGTTGATCATCATCATATGATAATTTAAATTATATTATTTGATTTGACGCGAGCATACAAATGATGTAATCAGATCAAAAATCAGATGTATATATATAGTAAATTATCTTGCTTTTTTTCATTGTTTTTTTTTCTATGCTTTTTTTACTTTTACCAAAGTAAAAACCTTTTATTACCAGGAACCGGGAACCGGTGTAAGTCCAGAGCATAAGATGTATCTTATATTCAGTCAGAAGTATTTCCAAATTAGGGGATGGCTAAAGCCATATACCCACGTGATTTTAATGTTTTAATTGTTTAAATTAAAATTAAGATTAGGATTAGGGTTAGTTGGGTGTTAATATAAGAAGAGAGGTATAGGTTAAGACTGTCGTTTTTCGTCTTTTTGCGTTTTCTTTATTTTTTGACTTCTTCGGACTGATCCGTGTAAACA